TATATATATATATATATATATATATATATATATACATATGCTCATATATGTATATCGACAAGGCTCAATGAATTTTATAAGTCAATACACAAACATATTTAAACGTTTTTTCTCTGGATATAAATATGGATATGTATAAATGTATATGTACATATTTAGATACGTATTTGTATATGTACGTAAGTGTCTACTTCTGAATAAAAATGCACATGAAAGTTTCTGTTCTATTTCGAATTAAGTACGACTATACTTTGGCAGCCTTGCGTACAATATTCGACTTTTAGATATTATTGTTACTGTTACTAGGTTGATTAAATAATAACACTTTATTTTCTTACGTTTTTTTTTGTTTTTTGTTGCAAATTGATGCTCACAAAATTTTAACTAAGGATGGGGCTAAAAAAAAGGGGAATATCGACAGAATCTGATAAATTAAATCGATTTTTCTTTTTGCGATAGCTAGGCTGGCTTGACAATTTTTCAAAAGTATGTCTGACAATTAAAATAAAATTATTTAGTTTATTTTTATTGCAGTCTGTATACATGTTTAAATTACAATTTAGAAAAATATAAATATATCGTTGTCAAATGAGGATTTATCGATATTAACGACTATTGTCAACTCCGAACCAGCTGATTGTACTAATTTGTGTTGTTAACATGGAGCTACGAAATCTAATAAGCAAAGCACATTTGAATTAAAATGACTAGTGAAAATAGGAAAAACTATGTTTGCGTCAGCTGTGGCAATCCGGTACGCGAATTGATTAAAAAATATAGTAATACTGTTAAGCCGACCCACTGTGTAAGTATGCTTTGCACCATTAACCACTAACAATACATTTACTCTAACATACATTGTATATATAAATTTATTAGGATAAATGTAATCAGATAACTGATAAGTACATAGAAGTCGAAGAATTCATCATCTTAATAGATGCTTTACTGCTTGTTTCCGCCGCATTTCGGCACATGATTTGCAATGGTAATTTTAAGGTAAAGTAGATATTTTAAAGCAATACTATTGCAGATAAAATAGTCAATACTTAAATAAAATAACTTTTGCAGCTGTATTGGAAGATTTCACTCGTTGTCCTCTTATTGGAGTCGTTTGCTTTATGCAGACAGAAGCGGGGAGATGAATCTAACACTGCTCTACATGAAAAGGGCTTTTACATGTGCACACTGCAAAACATTGGTGGTAGGATAGATGTACGAATTTTGATATTTACTGAGATGTGTTTACATATATTTATCATTTACAGAATACCTTTTAATAACGCTGCTGCTATTATTTATTACTGCCCTTCTCAATATGCGACAGTTGGTCAAAATCGGATTAGCATCTGTCACATTGATTATTTTGAAAGTAGTGGCCATCTCGAATTTCTCAAAGTTCTTCCTGCTACCCATATTGGTGTGGCGTAGTAATACAACCGATTTTGGACGGAAACTGCACTATATGTTGGTTACAGGGCATCATCTCTGTTCATTAATAATGGCTTACAATGTAGTTGGTGTTAGTAATAACCATCTTCGCTGGCTGACTATAATTTTGGTTATTTGTGCCTTTGCTACTAAAGAATATGTTCGGTATTTGGCAGAATTTGAGATGGAATTGTATTTATCGTAACAATACTATTTGTAAACTTGACGGTTGGATATTTAAACGACTGAAGTCTGTGTTGGATGAATTAAAGATAATCAGTACTTTAGACGATTCAGTATATGTAGTATTTAAAAATTACCACTGGCCTCTTTATTAGTTTTATCGACTCTACAGCCCTGGTACTTGCAATAATCGGCCGAGGTCTGTCAATGTCGCATGCAGATTTGATGAGAATTCTAAAATGCCTATTTTGCTTATTTTCATTATGAAAAATTTGAAGATAAATCTTGCGAAATCATTACTATTATCATAATATAAATAATTTCAGTTTAATAACAAATATCGCGAAGTAAATCAATATCTACGCATATTTTTAGGCACGTAATGTGTGTTCTAATGATCTAAAAAGAAAGCAAACGTGTTATTTAATAATGTAAGACGCAACACAACAAGTGAGTGCGTGTATTACAAATAACTGTCAAGTATATAAAGAAAAAGCGAATAGAAAGTGAAGTGCGGACAGTAAAATAAAATATTGGTAAGTCTATAGAACAAATAAAATGACCCACATACATACATAAAAATATATATGTATATGTATGTCTATATGTGTACATGGGACATTGTGAATGTATTGACATACACATGTAAGTAGTGCTATATTGTCGCCGCAAGCTAAATTGTTTTTTATCTAAGTAAATTGGCACATTAAAGAAAATCTGGTTTATTTTCTATATATGCTGCGTTCTAAATAAATGAGACTGATTTATGTATATTTGCATTATATATGGATATGACAACTCATTCATGTTAGCAATGTGACCGGTTTAATATAGATAGTATTTTTTTTAATAATTTAGATATTTGAGACTTTCTAGTTAAATGTAAAAGTATTATGCCAGGCACCATTGAAGCAATTTCGTACAAATTGGCTGTGTTGCTTCTTAATTTGTACATTTGGATTCAAAGCCATTCGTATAATATGAAGACATCGGCCTTTAGTTTATTTACATTTAATACTTGTTTTTGCATTTTCAAAATAAAATGCACATGCAATGTCTATATGTCTATTTGATATGCAATTTTTTTTTCAAATATACAATTATGGTATTTTCCTTGTCACTTAGATTGGTCACACATAAAATATAACCTTAAAAATGGCAAGTGACAAATTTCTTTTTTGTTCATTTTAAGCGACTAAAACGTTATCGACGATAATAAAAGTATTGTCTGGAGCACCTCCTGTGAAAGCGCTCAATGTTTTTCGATGTTATAATAAATATTGGATTGAACTTAAAGAGGGTCTGACGTTTCTGCTCTCACATATGCAACGATGTAAATATAAGCAAAAAGTGAAAATTACAAATTAACAGACCAACCGACAGACGGCCGCATTGATACACACATATGTACATAATTGTACATACATTTATTAATATAACTTCGAAAGGCAAAGATCACGTAGAGTGTCAACTCAAATGTCAGCTACATCGGTTGTGTTTGCGAGTTTTGTTGTAAAACTCACTAAGTACTCAAAGTCGCGAAGGACGGAGGTCAACTTAACAAGTGAATAAAGTGTAATAAACAAAAAATTGGGAATTTGAATAAGTACAGATCGGAACTTATTTATATATATATTTATATATATATAAGCAAGCGTGGAAAATGCATTCCTCGTCTGCGGCGTCGAGTGCGCTAGTGGAATATTCCGACGTTAGCTCGGAGGATTTTTCGGATCCTGAAACTGGAGAAATCGACTCGGATGCTGCATTAGCTGGCCGAGGAGCAGCTATATTAAACGCTTCCAATCGAAAACCGGAAAATCAGATAAGAAAACAAAATTGTGATGCTGTTTTACGCATTACCAAGAACAATGACTTCAGGTAATAATTAATAAGAAAATGTGAATTTAATTACAATCTGTTATTTTGTAGAAAAAAACGCAATGATGAGAGTGAGGATATGGGCTCGATTCTTGCAGTCGGTTCAAGATCACGGCAAGTTTCAGTTGTTGCCAGCAGTGGCAGTAGGGTAAGCATCGGCTCTGTCCCCGAGAAACAGAATCATCATCACCGCAGCGAAGTCAGTCTGACGCCAGCCAAGAGCTCAAAAGAGGAACAATGGGATCAGGAGCTCTACATGTCTAGTGATACGATAGACACGGATGAACTGGAGGCTGAAATGAAACGGCAGAAGCGTAAAAAACTGAAGAAGGATAAGCATAAGCACAAATCAAAAAAGAAGTCCAAGAAGCGAAAAAAGAAGCGAGCGAAGTCATACTCAAGCATAGATTCCCTATCGGACAGCAATCTCAATACGTTGCTGGACAGGCATAACCGCTACACGCCACCAACGGCCCCGAATCGAGCCAAAAGTGCTGAGCGTACAGTTAGCGCCTCTGTGCCTTCGTACACGCCTCACAAAGACAGTCAAAGCAGTCCCATATCAGTGGGCACTCCGCCTGCCCGACGTCCCAATAGCAGTAATAACGCCTATTATGGCGAAGTAACCGCTGCTCCAAGCACTCCCTTAGGTAGCAGCCTGCAGGTGACGGTAACGAACAAAACCACAAACAGTCGACATCGATCCCCACAGTTACGTTCCGGAGGTGGAGTTGGTGGCAGCAGTAGCAGCCAGCGTTATGCCACTTCTCCGCGCACTCCACCACAGTTGCTGAGTCACTCACATCCAGTCACTGTTGGTGGCGCTGGGGTTGGTGGCGGAAGCAGCTCACGTGACTCGCGCAGCTCTCGTTATGTACAGAGTCCTTTAAAAGATGATCATAGATCGAGCAATGCGTATACCTCTCGTTATTCAGGTGGATCAGTTGGTGGACAGGGCAGCAGTCTTGATGCGAGAAAGTTGAAACGCATCTCACCAGGTAAGCGAATAGGTGAAAGGAAGGGTAATTTATTAAATTTAGTTTACTTTTAACCGGAGAGACTACTAACTCAATTGCTTTACAGAGCTGGATCGCTATCACCATCAACCGAGCACGCCACCGCACAAGCGACGAAAGTATAGCGATGGACGAGATGCATCTATGTCTTCGTCTATGGTCCCATATGAGCACGGCAGGCACCATGCTGTTAAATATGAACGATACAGCAGAGATCGATATTCACGGAGGGTGTCCAGGTAGGCAATTGCGTACGCAATATGATGCAGCATATACTAATAAAGTATTATGACCAGGAGTCCTAGTGTTCATCGCTTGTCACGTAGTCGACTCTCACCTGGCGGAGGAGGCATCGGATCAGGTAACAGTAGCATGTATCGTCAACGAAGCAGTAGTCGACATAATCACAGCAAATATGGCGCACCTCATTCGCCTTCGCCACCAATGCCAACGAGGACGTCTTCCAAGCGAGGCTCAGGCAGTGGCATGGGCATCTCCAGTGATCGGTATTCCTCGCGTTCTCCACGACAAAGCTCCCGTTATTACGAGTCATCGCCACCGTCACCAGCGGGCGCCTCGGCCTCGACTTCACATCACCATCGACGATCGCCTCGGGGTCATCAGCATCATCGCAACAGTAGTCGCAAACGCTCGCCTAGCTCGGGCAGCAGTCGTAGCTCAGGCTCTTGCTCTCGTTCGCCAGCTTCGCGTGATCTTAAGTACAAGCGCGAGAAATATATCAAAAAGATAAGCGAGACTAGCTTGTTTGCTGAGCTGGTTAAGGATCGGCATAAGCGGGAAAAGGCTCTTAAAGAGATCATCGAACGAAACGAAGAGAATAGCAACAGCAACGGTGCTTTGACTATCAACGAAAACAGTTCCTCGGTAGATGGCAATACGCCCAACGTTGCGGAGAACCGATCAGCATCGTACATGGCAGCTCAAGCCTCCGCTGGTGCAACGCCAAACGGGATTGCTGGCAGCGGTGGTGGTGGTGGTGCTAAGCCTGATTTGGACCTGAACAACATTCCAATGCCAAACAAAGATACGGAGGCATTAAAGCTGAATTCGACTGTTGGTACCGGAGATGTAACAGATGCCTCTACAGCAATAGCCTCGCTGACCTTCAAAATGAATGCCAATCAAAAACCGAAGAGTCTTACGGCCTTACCCATGCCACCTGGCATGACTGTAGCCGATTTAGAGAACGCGCCAACGCCATCTCCACCAGATGTAGCAAGCAAGCAAGCGACGCCGAAATCAACAAAGAAGTTTTCCCCAGACGACAAAAATCTAAACACCAACCTTAATGCTAATGTCAATAAAAGCCTTTTGAACCTGCCAATGCCGCCAGTCATACCGGGCAGCGAGGAGTTAAGTGGCGACGATGATGTCATCGACAGTCCTGAAGACTTTGATACACCCAGTGGCAACAGCAACAACTTAAATGCGAGTGCGAATGCAAATACATCACATGCTGCCACCCGGCGACGACCAGTGATACTTAATCGGCGCGACTCGCGAAACAATGTCAGGGATTGGGGCGAACGATGTGTGGATGTGTTCGAAGTGATTGCACAGATTGGCGAGGGTACATATGGACAGGTAATATCGAAAGCCAACATTTCTTGAATTCTAGTTACATTTTATCGTATATTGATTTACGTTACAGGTGTACAAAGCACGCGATCATCATACCAATGATATGGTAGCATTGAAAAAGGTGCGATTGGAACACGAAAAAGAAGGTTTTCCCATAACGGCTGTGCGCGAAATCAAAATATTAAGACAACTCAATCATCGCAATATTGTGAACCTCCATGAAATAGTAACGGACAAACAGGACGCAGTTGAGTTTCGCAAGGACAAGGGTTCATTCTATCTGGTATTTGAGTATATGGATCATGATCTCATGGGCCTTCTAGAATCGGGCATGGTTGACTTTAATGAGGAGAACAATGCAAGCATTATGAAACAGCTATTGGATGGCCTCAATTACTGTCACAAGAAGAATTTTCTGCATCGAGACATCAAGTGTTCCAATATTTTAATGAACAATAAGTATGATCATAAATTGGTCTTATTTCATCACTCTATTTTAAATTATAATTATTCGTGTTTTAGGGGTAAGGTCAAGCTTGCAGACTTTGGATTGGCCCGTTTGTACAATGCCGAGGACCGTGAACGTCCGTATACGAACAAAGTAATAACACTCTGGTATCGTCCGCCGGAGCTGCTGCTTGGCGAGGAACGTTATGGACCGTCAATAGACGTGTGGTCATGTGGCTGCATATTGGGCGAACTGTTCCTGAAGCGCCCGCTATTTCAGGCAAATGCAGAAATGGCTCAACTAGAGACAATATCCAAAATATGTGGTTCACCGATTCCCGCTGTTTGGCCGAATGTAATTAAGCTGCCACTCTTTCACACGCTTAAACAAAAGAAGACACACCGTCGACGCTTGCGTGAAGATTTCGAGTTTATGCCAACATCTGCGCTTGATCTGCTTGATAAAATGCTTGACCTAGATCCGGACAAGCGCATTACTGCGGAAGATGCACTCCGATCACCTTGGTTGAAAAACATCAATCCTGATGAGTGAGTAATTTGTGATATATTGAGTATAGAATGAAATTATTTCAATTTGTAACTTAACAGAATGCCAACACCACAATTGCCTACATGGCAGGATTGTCATGAGCTTTGGAGCAAGAAGCGGCGTCGTCAGCTACGCGAACAGCAAGAGTCGCTGCCACCAGGTGTCATTTGCTCAGCTAAGTATCAGCAGCACGGCGCTGCGATGGTAGGGGATGCCTAGCATTTACTCTATGCTTCATACTACAATGAAGAAGAGGAAGACTATAAACAGCGAGAGGAAGTGGAGTGTGCCTGGTGGCAAAGTTAATACCATCTAAAATTATAATCAATTATAAATAGTTGGCAGGGAGACTCGCAGGCAGTTCGGGTTGACATGCTCTACCAAAGCACTCTATTCTTTAAGTCGTCTCTTAAACAAAATAACTAATTTAAGAATATATTTAAATAGTGATGAATTGCTAAAAAAAGAAATCAACAGAAAACAAAAGAGCATTTCGAATTGACCGGTGTGTAATATTGTAATATGTATATACTATATGCAATGAAATAATCCATTGCAAACTAAATTGTTTATAATTTTTCTAATGCTTAGTAATATCTTAAATACATATTGGCAATAAACAATGAGCATGAGTAATAACACTATCAATCAATGTGTGTCAAGGTTTGTTTAGTTCACATTGACTTTTATTCTGTTATAAAATTTGACTATTTCAAACATATTTTAGTTAACAAATTGAAGAGCAACGCGAAGCTTTGAAGCAGTTAAAGGTTAGCATTGTACCATTAAAAAATTGTTATATATATCTATCAATTTATAAAAAAAAATATATATATATATGCAAAATATATACATAATTAATTACGCTATAAATAAGTTAGTAATAATAGTATTAATTAATTTACAACATACTCATGTTGTCCATATAAAGCTATAAAAGATTATTTTGTTAGGTATTTAAATAAAATTGTAAAGTTAATGATGAATTTATCAAGTAATTGTGTACGAAAAATAACAACCAACAAAAATCACCCATACAGATATTTTAAAAAGCTTATATTTTTAATACATAAACAAAGCCGGTTAAGAATAAATATATGTGTATAACAAACTAACTATAAAATAAAGAAAATCTGTGTGAGACTGAAGATAATTGATCACAAAAAATTTGTGCAATTTGAGTTATAAAAATTTGTAAAAATCATAAGGTCGGAAATTCCAAATAACACGCACCTTGTTCTCCAAAAAATTCAAATCAAATGGACGAATTTGGTATCCAAGTCATATTTAAACCCAAACACAAATACATTGTTCTGTAAAGCCGTTAACACAATATAAATATACACAAAATGCATTATTTAAAACATTGAGTACGAAATCTATTTGAAATATAATCATTCGAGTTTTTTGTTTCATAAAGGTCAGAATGGAACGGTGGGAAAGTAATGCTGTGTTCTGTATTTAAGCGATTAATGGGTCTGAATAAAGTTGCCTAACGTTTAAAAATTATTAATTTTCTAAATATTATTTTAAGAGTAGCCAAACAAGAGATTTGTTTTTATTTGATATAATTTTAATTGAAGTATTATAATAATATAATATTTGCGAAATCAAAATTCCCTTTTGGCTGTAATTTTAGTTGTCTATTTTTTATATCCGCATGACTTCATTTGCTTCATTTTTAATCGTTGAAAAAAGATATCGGATGGCAAATGTACAATATGATCTAAATTTCATTGATATCGATATGTATGCCAGTATGCCAGTTGCAGTGTGTACTGCATAAATATATCTTTGGTATTTCCTAACACTAGCAAATTGGCGTTCTTCTTTTTAAATGAGTTTGGCTTGTTTTTGTTTATTTATGAGAATAAGAATAAAAAGTGAATGTAAATCAAAGTAAACTATGCTGCCATATCGAAATTTTGGAGAAACCATCGATGTAATTTAGTGAACTCATACAATTTGATGGTGAATAGTGCAATTTTAATACATATTTATGTTTCTAGGAATATGAAGTACAGCACCTGCTGGGTAAAGGAGGCTTCGCCTGTGTTTATAAGGCCAAATGCCTGCGTACCCATCAAAATGTGGCAATAAAAATGGTAAATGCATAATATGGACATCGTGGCAGAAAAATATCTATTAATTTGTAATTAAATATAAACAGATTGACAAGAAGCTCATACAGGGCTCAGGCTTATCGAATCGCGTTAGACAAGAAGTCGAAATACATTCCAGACTGAAGCATCCGTCGGTGTTGCAGCTGTACACGTTTTTCCAGGACGCCAACTATGTCTACTTAATCTTAGAACTGGCCGACAATGGTGAGCTGCATCGCTACATGAACCAGCAAATGAAGCGTCCCTTCACTGAGGACGAAGCGTCTTCTATACTGCGGCAGGTTGTAGATGGTTTACTGTACTTGCACTCGCACAACATCATGCATCGAGACATATCGCTTTCCAATTTGCTGCTCAGCAAGGATATGCACGTAAAGATCGCCGACTTTGGCCTGGCAACCCAGTTGAAGAGGCCCGACGAACGGCACATGACTATGTGTGGTACTCCTAACTATATTTCCCCCGAAGTTGTGTCCCACATGTCCCATGGTTTGCCTGCTGATCTCTGGGGTGTTGGCTGCATGCTTTATACGCTCTTGGTGGGGCGTCCGCCATTCGACACAGACGCTGTACAGTCGACACTCAATAAAGTGGTACATTCTGACTATACAATGCCAGGACATTTGTCCTATGAAGCACGCGATTTAATCGACAAGCTTTTGAGAAAGAATCCGCATGAGCGCATTTCCTTAGAGCAGGTGCTCAGGCATCCATTCATGTCGAAGGCAGGCGGCAGCACAATATCCTATACAACGCCAGGCTCATCAGTAGATTGTTATGGTCAAAGCATTGCAAGCGGCGATAGCGGCATCGTGACATTTGCGAGCAGTGAGTACAATAACGCAACAATTTAGCAGTATTTATTTAATAAATCTCACTATTCCTAGATGACTCAAAAAACTCGCAACGGCTACGCTCAGTGGAACAGCAATCCATGCCTCAAATGCTGCCACAGATTCAGGAGGAGTTTGGCTACTACCAGGAAAATCAAAAACCGAAGTATGCAGCGTTTAGGCTAGGGTCGACAGAGTCGGTGGACAACTCGGATATGGACTGGCAGCGAATGGGGCCAAATACACAAAAAGGCAATTTCTTGGTGCACTCAACACCATCGCTTGGACCTGCACCTGCACCGGCAGAGGTTAAAGCTAATAATGAGCACATATCCGTGCCACCATTAAACACGCTCCGATTGCAGCCAACACGCTATAAGACCAAGAATGCCATCATGAGCATTGTGGCAAATGGCGAAGTAGTCATTGAATTTATAAAGTGCAAAAGTAGAATGAATGAAGATCGAATTGTTGATATTTGTCGCATTTCCAACGACGGGCGCCGTATAATAATCTATCAACCGGATCCTGGGCGGTAAGAAATAGGAAAAAAAAAAAACGAGAATCAAGTTTTAATATGTATATTTACTCTTAGCGGATTGCCCATAAGAGAGAAACCTTCGGAGCTTCACGCAAACGGCATGGATAATGCTTACACTTATGATAACTTGCCTAGCAAACACTGGAAGAAGTACGTCTATGCAGCGCGGTTCGTGGGCTTGGTGAAGAGTAAAACTCCAAAGGTGACTTATTTTAGCAAATTGGCGAAATGTCATCTAATGGAGAACATGGCTGATTTCGAGATGAGCTTTTATTCTGGCGCAAAGTTGACCAAGTCTCCCAGTGAAGGTATTAAAGTGCATGATGCTAACGGTGCATTGCTCTCAGATCACGCAACTGGCGAGGCGAAACGTTTGATTGAACACAGCAATGAATGCTTCGCCCACTGCCTGAGCATCTGTAATGCACTGGAGCTGGCACAAACTGGCAGCAATACTTGCTTTCCAGTCACGATTGGAAGGAGACCCATTGCAGAAGTGTTGCCCGCACAACGCTCGGAAAGTCTGAGGGATACAACCAATTTTATGTACTCTACGCCCAAATCGCAGCAGGTAAATAAATATGAAGTACAAATTAGTCCTTGATTTAATTTTATTCTGCTTTTGCAGGGCTCAATCAACTTCTCCATTAGCACCATCTCTTCGATGCGCAGTGATAGTGATTTGATTGGATCTCAGATGTTAGCTGCTCAGCAGAATGTGCCCATAAAGCGGCTAAATATTCAAGGCATCGGCACTGCCACTGAGGTAGACTTCGGTTTTTCTAATATATAAAAAATGTTACATTAATTTGAATCTCATTTCAGCTGTCCCATGGAGTTGTCCAAGTACAATTCTATGACGGATCAGTTATTTCTGTTATACCCGAAACGCAGGGTGGAGGCATAACATATACGCAGCCCAATGGGGTATCCACCCACTTCCCCAGCCATGACGACCTGCCATTGGCTGTTAGGGAGCGAGTCTCCCAACTGCCCCAGGTGCAGATGAAGTTGAGGTGTGCTCCTTTGCTAAATGGAAAAAAGTTTGACTGCAACGCGATAAACTCAAAGCCGACCACGTCGGCACCTTGGCACAATCGCATGCTAATCTAGATAAAATCTCACCGTTTACAAATATTTTTTTTAAGAGTAAAAGTAAAAATTATATTCTGTATTTTAAGATAGCTCACATGTTTTGTATGCATATATATTTTATAAATATTATTATTGATAGTTGATATAAATATTTTTATGAAAAATAATATAAATGCTTCGCTATTTTCAACTTCTGTCTGAGACGGAAACTTTTTATATAATAGGATTAATTTAATTTACATAACATTAAAAAAAAGGTATATTAAGTGTGAAAGTGTAAAGAAAATAAGAGCTTATAAATAAATTGAATATTTTAAATGAAACAAATTTATTGTTGACTAGTTTAAAATATCGGTTTTTTAACTCTTTCAAATATCGATATACAAATGAAATCGATACAATTCTAGCATCACTAGTATTTTTTGTACATACACACAACTTCAGTGTTTTCGACAGTGCTGCACAGTTTGATTTAAGTTTTGTTTTATTTTATTCCTGAGCTAACAAGCTCAGTAATAAATGCGTGTAAAAAGTACAAAAATTAAATATATAGCTCAAATGATTTACAAAACATAAAGCGTAATACAGCTTCAATTTTTTATTAGTGATTGGCATGTCTCTTTTGGCTTAGTTGCTCAGAGTCTGGCCCACAGCTTAAAAACTGGTTTTTGTTGACTTCGTTCGTGCGTACCAACACACCTCCATCCACATTCATTCAGCGAAATACACACATACGAGCCCAAATATATTACGTCTGTACACATGTAAACAAATTAACTGTAAACAACTGAATTTCAAGCCCGCGCAATATCCTGCCAACAAAACTGTTCGAATTGTTTTCGATTTAAAACTTTTACTTGATTTAAAAAACCGGATATCTAAAGGAAACAAAATGCGTAAGTCTTACATCAATATGAAATAGCCATGTATGGACTGAATGACCTAGTTTTTAGGAACCGATGCAATTCAATTTGAATGTGGTTCTTAAACATGCAAAGCTCGCGCTGAAAGTGCTTGCATACATACATTCTTACAGACAGACAGATAAATATGTATGCAACTTCTGTTGCTACCCTTCTAAGAAGTACATACATTGTGTGATTATTGTCTGCTCGGTTACAAACTTTAATTCATAGGATTAGATCGTCAATAGGTGTATATGAATGTTAAATTAGTGTTCGTATAAGTAGATTTACATACATAGAAAGTAGATTTTGTTAATCTCAACAAAACACTGAAACAGAAGTAAAAGTAGAAATATACATTAAATTAATAATAATTTAATTTCAATTAATAAATTTCTGTAAAGTCTGAAACTTATCAGAATTCTCTCTATTAGCGTTTAAATATAATCAGCTTTTTCAAATCTTTGCCGCTGATAATGGTTTAATGCTTAAATTAATATTCTGTAAATATTAACAATTTACACTAGCTCATTCCAAATTGTTGATCTGAACTTTAGGCGCAGCTTTAATCCCTTCAATTAAATAAAGAACTGCAAATTCACAATGCAACTTAAATGTATATACATATACACATGTATCTGTATGTATATGCATAGGTATACTTGTGTGTGACTTGCAGTACGTGACCTTTTAATTGACTACAATTGTAAAAGAATAAGACTGTTAAAATTTCGAATTCGAATGTCCATTGTCAGTTAGCAGATGGTCAGAAGTTCTGTTTCTCTGCCCAATAACGAAAGAGAGTAAAGCTGATAAGGCGTGTGAGATTAAAAGTTCTTGTTGCTCGTTGTCTCTCTCTCTCTCTCTCTCTCTTCCAACAAACTGGCTCCAACAGCACCTCTAAACTAGCGAGCAGCGACAATGAACGATAATTTGCTCAGCACGAAACTGAAACTCATACTCACATACCGACAGAGGAGAGCAGATAATGGAGTCGAAGTATAATGTGAAGAGAGCAGAATTGCTGGCTGAGTGAGAAGGGCTCACTGGATACACACAAGTAGACTACGCAGGCCGAGAGCGAAGCTTCAGTCTGTTTGTTCTCGGTGACGTCGAAGTGAGCGTGAATCACATTTTGTATTCAATTAATTAAAAGAAAGAAAAAGCCATGCAGTACGAGTTTAAAGAGCATTAAAAGCATTTTTATGAAATAGAAGAAGAGACCCAAGGTCTGAAACCCCAAATTCAATAAATAATTTACTGTGAACTATGTCTGGTAAAGGAAATAATAATCGCGATCGCATTCGAGATCCCCGCGAAGAAATTCTGCTCGAAACGAACTTCGAGGATGACGGTGGGGTACTTACGCGTGCCTATAACAATAATCCCTACCAGAATCGTCGACACAGTGCCTACCAGTCGGATCGCTCCTTGGATAGATACACTGAGCGAGGTGGTGAAGGTAGGCCGAGGGCTGATATACATATGTACATGCATACAAATATTACATGGCACAGAATATGGCTTACGCACTATGTCATATTTTTCGTTTTCACCTGCATTTCGAATGCCTTATCACAGCTCTTATCAGGGCTATCTCTACGTTCACATATGAGTGTATGCACACATGCGTACACTCATATGTGTATGTTTACCTCGCACCATTTAGTCACCTTATTACAGTATATTACAAGCCGAAGCGGAAATGATGTGCTTTATGTAGTTCGTATTGTGCATAATTTACATTGTAGCACCGTTTACCAACACTGAAATTTAGAACTTGCAATCAGATTTAATGGTCTAAAAACAAAAAAAGTATTTGTAATTTTATTCTTTGCTGTTTTCTGTAGTGCGAGCTGTGCTATTTATTGTGAATTGATTCCATTTCTAATTCTTTCAGCGGACTGTTGCCAATCATGTATGGCACGCATACCCTATGCAACGCTAATAGCGACGCTTATGTGTCTGCTGGGCGTTGGCATCTTCTGTGGCACAATGTACCGTGGAGCCTCACTAACAGTTATTATGATGGATCAAGTTTTTCACCTCCGACTAATATGGTAAGCTATTTAATGATGTCTTATACTGTGATATATTCTACTCATATATATATATTTCAGGATCGAGGCTGTGCAGATGATATTTGTCATAATTGCTGCTGGCATGGCTGCTCTCGGCTTTATGATATTGTTTGTGGGCTTTCTAGCAACGGGTGCGACACGCTATAAGGTTTACCGCGCGTGGCGATCACGCGTCGGCGGTCGCATCTCCTGTGCAGTGCTCATGGGCATTACGTATCTGCTTAACTTCGTGTGGACGCTCATTTTATGCTTCTTGGTTATTGTGACGTTCATTTACACCATGTTCTGGAATATGTGTGCGAGTGTTGAGCATTCGCTGAGCTGCATTGATTTGACACAATTTCGTAAGACGACAATTCAGAAAATATTTAACTACATTTACTAAAGAAAAATAAAATACTTCACTTGCAGATTTCATGTTTCCGCCAAATACGAAGCTCGAGGACATGAAGGTATGCGAGAAGTATGAGATCAAAGCATTTTGCAAGGATGGTGTCGAGAACGCTGAGGTCATGTTTATTTTGGCCACGCTGTCTACGCTTTTGGTTATTCTCAGTCTGGTGCACTATTTGATGTGCCTTTCGGCCAATTATGCGCACATTCGTGACCATGAAAAGTTCCAGGAACTGCAGGAGATACAAAATCTCAACGAACTGGAGTATAGCGCAACATCGAAGGATCGCTTCTAGGATTTATTTAAAACTATTCGATTCGAGCTTCATCAAAGAGGCACAAAGACACAGAAATGCAACGAAATTCATCTATAGCTTTAGAAGTTTTGTTTTTATTCGAAAATTGATTATTCTGTTTCGTTCTATAAGATATTATTGGTTAATTTATTGTTCTATATATTCTTATATACATTTAGGCCTATAACGCCCATCAAAGACACAAATTTACATAATTTAAGAACTGTATTTATATATACATATACATCACAGAAATATCGTAATTATACACAGTGTAACTTCTCCTGCCCACCACTGCGAAACATTCCAATAGAAATTTTAACCTAATCTAATATTGAAATATTCTTACTATGAAAGAATATCTTTTTCCGTCCACAAATGCTTATTTTTCATTGGCTAAGATCACTCTAATTCACTACCTAAACTTTATTTTTTTTTTAGTTTAATGTTTTCTTACGCCAGTTTGTGTTTTTTTGTTTTAAAATTCATATACTCGTAAGGTCAATCAAATATTTGCAAATGTTTGAGTACGCATGCTTATTCATATATATATATATATACAAATTTATATAATTATGCATTAATTAAATAATAATATTCATATGTATATAATTACATACAAATAAAAAATTTTTATTAATTTGCTTTTCTAGTTTTGCGAAATTTATTTAAATATACTAAATATTGTTGCCTGGTTTAAGATGTAACGGCGAATCTGCGGTCCGACTATATAAAAAGCGGTTGCATTTATTTTATTATCGATTTATTGATAACATATTTATAAAAAAAATATTAATTGAATTTAACTGCAAAACATATAATTAGTGATTTAATGCTAGTGTTTATACTTCTGTTCTTTCCTTTTTCGATCAATAATATACACCACTAATTTTTCAAAATATTGCGATGAATCGATAGCAATCGATTGACAGCTAGTTATTTCGTAAGATATTAATAAATAACAAATGCGAATATATTAAAAATACATTTATAACGACAATGTTGAGGAAACTGAATACTCCAACAACTACTTTGGTGGTTGGTATTAGTACTCAAGAAATACATGTCAAGATTATTAATCTTTGTTATGTTGCAGCGAGCAGCATCAACACGCGTCGAAAAATTGGAAGAAATTCGTGAACGATTATCAAAGGGCCCAAATTTTCAAGATTTTATCCAAAATTCTGACGGTGTTAAAGAGGACTGGGAGAATTACGATGGCAAACTACGCCGCGAAAAGGGAGAGACCCAACAATTGCGCTTGCCTCCATGGCTAAAAACAACAATCCCAATGGGCAAGAATTATGCTAAGATTAAGACTCAGCTGCGAGACCTCAAACTGTCCACAGTGTGCGAGGAAGCGCGTTGTCCCAACATCGGCGAATGCTGGGGCGGTGGCGAGCATGGCACACAGACGGCGACAATTATGGTAAGTAAACCCTCTGTGACCTTTGCTGGTAGCTGATAACTGATAGTACATATTGTGTTGATTACAGCTCATGGGCGACACTTGCACACGCGGTTGTCGGTTTTGCTCGGTGAAAACAGCTCGAGCGCCTCCGCCTTTGGATGTGAACGAACCGGTGAACACGGCTAAAGCGATTTCATCGTGGGGCCTGGATTATATTGTGCTGACATCCGTAGATCGCGACGGTAGGCTAAAAGTTATTTAAGCAATAAGTGGAATATTTAACTAATGATCGAAATAACTCGCAGATCTTCCTGATGGTGGCTCTAAACACATTGCAGAGACAGTACGTGAAATCAAAACGCGGTAAATAGCAATTAAATGCTCACTTTTAATAGACAAATGAGGAACTTGTTCTCTTACAGCAACTCCAACATTTTTGTAGAGTGCTTGGTGCCCGACTTTCGTGGAGATTTGGAGTGTGTGAAGACAATTGCAACTTGCGGTCTTGATGTCTATGCACACAATATTGAAACAGTAGAAAAGCTAACTCCATTTGTGCGTGATCGCCGTGCTCATTATAGGCAAACGCTTCAAGTGCTCCGTGAGGCCAAGAACTTCAATCCGAATCTCATCACAAAGAGTTCAATTATGCTTGGCCTAGGCGAAACGGACGCAGAAGTGGAGCAAACGATGCAAGATTTACGAGAGGTTGGGGTCGAGTGCCTGACCCTAGGACAGTACATGCAGCCTACAAAGAGACATCTGAAAGTCATCGAGTACGTTACGCCTGAGAAGTTTAAGCATTGGGAACAGCGAGGCAATGAGCTGGGTTTTCTTTATACTGCCAGTGGACCTCTTGTGCGCAGCTCTTACAAGGCTGGCGAGTTCTTCATTACGAGCATCCTAGCGAATCGTAGGAAGTCTATTTAATTGAATTATACTCAGATTAATTCAAATTTATGTTTGTAGATATATAAATTTGTTAATAGATTGTTAACTATATAGCATGCTTAAAAGAAATATTTAAATTATAATATTGAATAAATTGTATATGTGTTTATGACCTAGAAATTCAAAACTTCATAATAATTACACCAAAAATGCATATGTATTCCGTTAGTTTATTAGCACACTTGGCAACTGCCTGTCCGTGACAGTGTTGTCATCATCACATTAAGCAGAGATTATTTAGATCAGTCTTGTGCCATGTATTATAATTTATTCTTATAAATCGAAATAAAAGTTTTTTACATAGAGAATAAAATACATTAAATGCCATTCGAATTGAATTTTAAAAATAGTCTAAAAACTTTTGTTTCGTAATTAATGGCTCAACTCCAATAATTTTTTAGGCAGTATTTTAAGAATACTAAATTATTATTTGACCTCAGATTTTATATGGGCACACTTAAGCTACGTTTTTTTTCGTTTTATCTATTGTGTGACCATTTGTCGTTGTTTTTAGTTGAAAGTGCATAAAAGAAGCTCAGCGTAAATTTATAAGGCAATACATACGTTGTAAAATAACTAATTACTAAACGAAATGAATACTAATGTCTGCACACAGAATGTTGAAAAAGAAATGCAGATATGAAATAAAATAGGCTGTATATGTATGCAGTTTGCTGTATTTATGTGTACGTACATATGCATGCATACATATGTAATCTGAATATGTATGCATGTGTGGCAGTGCGTTTTTGTTTTTACACACTGTGTTGTAGAGTGTGTCGTGTGAGTGTGTGTGTGTATGTACGACACAAAGAGTAGGAAGTCTACGAATTTTTAACCCATTAATGCTTAACTGTGAATGCAGGGGAAACCAATTGATAAAGTGTAGTTGAAAAGTAAAAATAAATACATACATTTATACTAGTGTGTCGTAAATAAATTCAACTAAATATATGTACATACATATGTATACTACATCAAAGACGACCATGGAAGAGCAACGCAAGTGCGCAAATGTATTGGTGTCCACCAACAGCAGCTTTGTTTCCACTTTGTTTTTGTTTTGAATGCAATTGTTCCCTTTCTGGCACACTCTTTGGCTATTAGCTCGGTGCTCGGCTCGTTTCTGTCAAAAACCCGATTGCGTTCGGGCTTCTTTTTGGCTGTGCATACCCGAACCAGTATTATTACAGTAGTAAATGCATTTAAACACATACATTCAGCAGAAATGCATGGCCCCTATGGTATGCATGCATGCATATGTGTGTGTACACCAATTTTCGTACGATTGGTGTACATAATATGTACATCATTGATGAAGATACATGAATACACATACATACATTCACGTATGTATACAGTAGAAATTTTTTAATGTATGTATGTATGCATGGGTGTGCTATTAATTGTTAAATATTAAATAAATATGCATTTTTTTTTTTTATATTGACATTTATAGTTGGTTTACAAACGCAGCTGTGAAAGTTTATAAGATGCATATATATGTGTTTGTGAATTAAATAAATGAATCGAGCATCGAACTACACAGTTGCCGATCAAATACAGAGATTAACATTAATTTAATTTGAATAGATTGAAATATGAAACATATAGATACTATAATCCCTTTTATTGCAAACATGACAAACAAGAAAGATAAGAAAATCTAGAGTGTGCTGCGTAATAAAATTTATACGCATTTTTTTTTTTTTCACAATGGATTCTCAATGATTAGCAATTATTTGCGTGAAATTTTTCCCAGTTCTAGAAAGTATAAATGTAATTGTACTCTATAATATAAATATAATATATAAATCTATGTCCACAGTTGCTTCGATTGCAATTACATTGAATTTAATAGTCTTTCTCTTGGCAGTGGATCGGAGCTCACTGTTATCAACGATCCCAAGATCCTCAGTCAGCGTGGCGGGTGATTAACAGATAAAAAGTAGACCGATACGGATTGGACAGTCGACAGGCGAAGTGTGGAAGAGTGGAGTGGTGGCTACTTGTTGCCGTGCGGATCCTAAAAAGTACTCAAAATTGATAGAAAGAACAGAAAGGCTGCTGCAACTGGTGCCTCAGCCGGGGACCAGCCGCCGCGCAAAAAGGGACGTCGCTCAGGTGGATCCAATTCAGTTTCTGTCGTAGACTCGAACGCAGCGTCTACGTCAAGAGCAGCGCTACAGAGCAACAGAAGTGAATCACAGCAACAACAGAGCCGGCAGAGCAAAAGCAATACAGACGCCAATAGACTGCAATCGAATTCCACAACGTCCCCAACGGACACCTCCAGCACACACAACTGCAACAACAACAACAACAATAGCAATACTAACAGTAACAACAGTAGCAGCATAAACGACAACAACGCTTCTGGCATGAACATGCAGAGTACAGCGGCGTTGTCATCCTCCACAGCACAAGGAGTAGCCGGCGGCACCTCAGACAGCGGTTCTAGCACCGCTGTGGAGCAGCCCGCTGGCAGCGACAATGTCACCAACGACACTGGCGCTGGGGGCGACGGGGCAGCCGATGAGGTTGCCCAACCCTCAAGTGGCCATAGCAATAATACGACAAACGGCCATGATGTAAAGCATAATGGCTTCGCAACAAATAACAATGGCAGCAACAATGTCGGTACGGTGGACGGTGAGAACAATCGAGAGAATAATAGCAGCGGATACAGTGGCATACATTTGGACAAGTCAAATCAAGAGATAATACGGCTTATTGGCCAATATCTGCAAGACGTCGGCCTCGAGAAGTCGGTGAAGACTTTAATGCAGGAATCCAACTGTTATTTGGAGCACCCGTCGGCCACAAAGTTCAGGGAACATGTTCTTGTTGGTGACTGGAACAAAGCCGATGCTGATCTTAAGGTAGGATGTTTTAAATAATCCATGTAAGAAGATGTATTCGATCTTCGTACAGATGCGAAAGTCTTAGACCTATAGATTACCTATACTAACTATTCGCTCATGTCTAATCATCTTTTCTTTTGTTAAGCTGGCCTTCAAGAATTCCCTATGATCTTATTTGCAGGACTTGGAGCCATTGATCGATAATGGCAAATCGTCAACGATAATAACGGAGATGAAATTCATATTGCTAGAGCAAAAGTACTTGGAGCATTTGGATGATGGCAATCCGTTGGATGCATTGCACGTTCTGCGCAGCGAACTGACGCCGCTGCAGCACAACATTTCACGTGTTCATCAATTATCCTCTTATATGATGTGTGCGACCAATCACGACCTCTACCAGCGCGCCAAATGGGAGGGCAAGGGCATAACATCGCGTGCCCTTGTGATGGAGCGTCTGCAGACATTTATGCCGCCATCGGTGATGATGTCGCCGCGTCGCCTGCGCACGCTGCTTCAGCAGGCGGTGGAGCTGCAGAGCCAAGACTGCCCCTTTCACGATATGGCTTGGGAGACAAATCTGCAGACTGTGTCGCTGTTGACGGATCATTGTTGCTCCACAGATGGCTTTCCTATGCAAACAATACAAGTGCTGAGCGATCATTGTGACGAGGTCTGGTTCTGTAAGTTCTCGCCCGATGGCCTCAAGCTGGCCACGGGCAGCAAAGATTCCACTGTGATCATTTGGGATGTAGATCCATACAAACTGACGCTCAAAAATCGTCGTGTGCTCGACGGTCAAGCGCAGTTAAACGTGAGTTTCGTCAGCTGGAGTCCGGACTCAAAGCTTATTCTAGTGGGCGGTACCGAGGACTCGCACGAGCTCTTTATCTGGAATGTGGACGATGGCAAGCTGGTTGTCAAGTTCTCGCAATCCCTCGACGATAGCCTGGCCTGCGGCACATTCAGCCGTGATGGCAATCATTTTGTGTGCGGTGGCCAGAAAGGTCAGCTATATCTATGCGATCTGAACGGCACATTGATCGACTCCTGGGAGGGTGTTCGTGTGAATAGCGTCGCCTTTCGTGCAGACAACAAAACCATATTAGCGGCCGATAATCATTATCGTATAAGAGGGTAAGCATTAATATGTTTAACCTCATCCTGGTTTTTAATATTCCAATTACATTGCAGCTACAATTTCGACAACCCACGTTCGGACTTTGATATACTGCGAGAGCCACATCCAATTATGACATTCAGCATCAATTCGGCCGATCGTTTGGCGTTGTTGAACGTGTCCAATCAGGGCCTGCATCTATGGGATATCGAGGATAAATGTCTGGTGCGTCGTTTCCAGGGCATACGACAAAGCAACTTTGCCATTCACTCCTGCTTTGGCGGCGTTAACGAGAGCTTCGTGGCGAGCGGCAGCGAGGATAAGGTTGTGTACATTTGGCATCTCAAGCGCGAGGAGCCGTTGGCCAAGCTGATCGGTCACACAAAGACGGTTAACTGCGTGTCCTGGAATCCAGTCTATCCGTCCTTACTGGCCAGCGCTAGCGACGATGCTACCGTTCGTATTTGGGGCCCGAAGCCGACGGGCAGCAATGCAACGACAGAGAGTGACGATTGTTCATCCAGCTCGTCGTCGTCCTCGTGGAACATGACCTAAGCCCGCAATTCGCTTAACGTTTTATTTATGTGGTGTCTGCGCAGTAGAGGTTTGCAATATGAAAATGGGGTTTATTAGTCAAAAACGAAAAGTCAGAATCTATAGCTATAAACGAATACTTGTTAATTCTAAAGTATATGCAATCGATTTTTTACCACAATCAACTTTCAATCATATAATATCCAGTTTAAGTTTCATCCCTTTCGATTAGTCTTTAGATATTTTCCTATGTTTGTGTGTGTTCAAATCCTCTAATGCGTAAGTCTACATAAATAGGTACGTGATTACTCTGAATTAGTCGTAAGTAAACTCCCAATGTCGATCTAAATGTGGTGCGCATGTCCCAGCAATCAGCAGTCATCAGAAAGTTGGAAGTTGCAATCGGTTAGCCGGGACGGCGACAAACACAAGACTGCCATTACAAAAAAAAAAAAAAGAAAAAAACGTGGATGAGCAGCATGACTTACAATTAGCATTAAAGTTATATAAGGTACATTGACATTGTCTCACACATAATCGGACACAAACACAGACGCCTAGATGCGCGTATGTATGGATATTGTTCAAAGCTTTTCGAGAAACAATAGTATTTTTTTAAAACTTTATTACCCATATGTATGTATATTTATTTACATGCCTATGTATTGCATATTGGCTTTTAATTATTATCAAGTTTCAAAATGTGCCGAATCATTCTGTTTAACATTTGCCATTTTAACTACTTTGTCAACTCTCAATTCGCATTGCTTTCGGTTAGATATATCGATCAGACTGAATACGTTCGGTAATAATTCAAATTTTAACTGAATATTGGAGCAAGCGGGATTTTAATACATTTTTAATTGTTAATTACTTATTGATTTAGGGCCGTAGTCGCATCTCACGTTAAACAGACTTTAGTTTCGACATTAACTGATGTGTTTGCTGTTAACCAAGTTTAACCAAATTACTGATATAACGAAACCCCAATTTTATTTTATAATCAATACATGCAATAACGATAGCGCTATTTACATACATATGTAATTTAAATTTGACCATAAACTAATTGGTAATAATGCATTAGGAAAAAGAAACACTTTTACCATTGATCAAAATAAATGATATTGCCGTCTTTTTCCAATTTATTGTTTTTCTTTTCTTCTAATTCTAAGCATTTATGTATAAGAATTTTTGTAGTGAAGGGAAACTTCGAAAATTCCGCTTACATTGTTATCGATAACAACGATTTTTGATTTGTCAATCAGCTGTTCCGAAAAATTTACACTGAACTGTAAAACAGCAACCGTAGAGCGAAAACAAAATTTGTAGAAAACTCATTTAATAATTTTACAGAAATGGCATCTGTAGGCGATGGGAAAGTGAGTTTACGGAAATTTGAGTACCCAATGTGTGCAGTTGAGGCACTTACTCGATTAGGTGAGCATAAAATATCAAGTCCTCACCCAAGTATTGTATGCAATGTTTATGTCTACTTGCAGAAACTCTCATTGCAAGCCGTAATAAACAGAACCTGGCAATGCAAATTATTTCGGAATTTATTTTTCTGGAACGTGCCAAAGATGGAGATGTGCGCAAAATGCAAACAGTGGGGGGCATCAGCCAAATGAATATCTATCAGGAATTTCAATTGATTCTCGCCCTCATTGACTATTTTTCAAGGCCTGGCCGGGATGACACTCGCAATGCGATATTTCTCTCTCTGTTTGGTAGTCACTTGACCCCACAGCGTTCTAGGCTGCTATCCAGATTAATTAGCACTGCGGTATCGGGTTCGGTAGCCCCACTGCTTTCCTCGGCTGGCACATGGATGCAACAAGTTGGCTGCAAAACGCAGCCGAGCTTGGAGGTTGCTCAGAATATAGTGAGTGACTTCATTTCGTTCTCGCGCAAAACTCCTGAGCAATTGCGACATCTTCCCTTGGTTGGTCCACACTTTGCAGCCAATTTTATGGTAGCCGTGGCCGATCTATACCTAAATGAGAAGCGTGGCGGTGTTCTGACACCGCCACCAGATGCGCTTCTGGATGTCATTACAGAGTGGACAACAGAGAATCCGCAGCTCTGTCAGGCACCACAGCAGCCTCTTGTTCTACCTGCCGGCGCCATTGCCATGCCGTTTGCCACCCCGCTCGCCGGTTTGTTGCGCTGGGTCGTATTGGCCCCATTGGTCTCGAATCGACAGGCTTATAGCAATCTGCATTTATCGTTGCTACACACACTACTGAAGACAGTTAACAACGGCGAGTCAACGCCTTTGCATGCTCAGGATCTAATGCAGATTGTCACATCTTTACAAAAGTACTGCGCTCATCTCGCTGAGACCAAAGTGGCGCCTGAAGAGGATGCTGCCTACCTCAAGTGCATGGAGCGCTTTGCTCAAGCCGTGCAAATAGCGCTGTCCTCCAACTACATTACGAATCATATTCAACTGCTATGCGTTCTGGAGACTCTGCCGCACCACGCACTAATGAAAATTGTGCTAGCTGCTCATAAAAAACTATAATAAGTAAT